ACCCCTCAACCCGGTCGAGCACCTCCCCCTCCGTTCTATTCTCGAGGTTATGACGAGCATGGGCGTTCAGTTTCTTCTCGAGGCTCCTGTGGATCCAACTTCATCTTACTATATTTTAGGAGGGGTGGAGATGTTTTGAACCACCACTCAAGAGGTTGTAGATCCGCCACTGCTGTACTTTGACTTTAGAAATTTCTTTATTAATATGTTATTTAGATTTCGTGACAACACTTTCTATTATTTACAACATAAGCAAGCTTCTTGTGTAGCATTTTTATGCCGCTAAAACACGCAAGGAATATTCAATCATTTGACACTCCATTTCGTAGGTAGACACTCTTGACTCTTCAACAACAGGTAGTTGACTTTTTACACAAGAAATAAAAATTATTGCTAAATAAAGCAGAGACAAAGAAACTTACTTCTAAAATAATTAAAATCAAACATAAGAATGAACTGACGCTGCAACCTCCTCATCGATCGATGCGAACGTTCGAACAAATAAAAGTCAGCGTTAAAATGTATGACGTACTCATCCAGTAAACCCAAGCTTTTAATTAATCATTTTGCTTTGCTTAATCTCCCTAGAGGCTAGAGTCGATCAATGCTAGTTGAAATCCCATAAAAATCCGAGTAAATCCTCGCATTCTTTCTAAGATTTAGTTTAGAAAACGAGTATAATTTCGAATGATTTTAATCATGATGGACCAAATTAACTCTAATCTATTCCGAACCCTCAACACATGACATCGAACATGTTGTATTTGGGTCAAAAAATACAGACCCGAAACTATTTGGATGACCTGAACCTTGCTCATATATAGTTCAAGCTCTTTATTTATTAATTAGTACTTGATTCATACGTTAATTAACTGCAAATGGGTAGAACGATGAAGGTTTTCTAATTTTTTTTTCCCTGATGATTACAGTAACTTATGTATATAATGTTTGTTATACTATTCCGTTGGATTATATGGGGTGGAATTCTCAGGGACCAGTCGCGTCAGGCTGCCCAAGCTTTGGAAAACAATGGATGGTGAAGGCAAAAGTTTTGTTTTAGGGTTAACACTTAACTACATAAAACCCCCATGAATTTTTTGGGAAGCTCCAGTAAACCCCCATTAACTTTTATTATTAGAATAAACCCCTTCTGACTTTTAGGAGTTATTGCACTTACTCATCAGCTATTTTATTTTACTGAAGCTTATCTAAAAATTTATCTTTTAATCTTTATATTAGCACAATCAACCATCATGTGTCACTGGTAAGCACATGACCTAAAAAAAAGATGCAAAATTCCTTTTCAGTCCAAAAATACTTTTTTTTTTAATTAAAAAAGTAACCTTTTGGGATTGAGGAATTTTTTTTGTCGCGCATGCTCACCATATGAGATGTTAGAATAGGTGATGCTAATTTAGAGACCATATGAGAATTTTTCATGTAAAATTTAGTGAAATAAAAATGATACGTACAACAACCCCTAAAGTTCTTAGTAGGGGTGTGCAACGGTCGGTTCGGTTCGGTTTTTAGCAAAATTTGAACAACCGAACCGAGCCGCCTATAATTCAAAACCGAACCGAACTGTTGCAAATCGGTTCAGTGCGTTTCAGTTCGATTTGTTCGGTTCTAACTTCATCAAACTTCTTATCAAACAACAAATTGTGTTAAAAAATATCAACAAAGTAGGAGATTATGAAGCATTAAATACTGATATAATGATATTGTTTTTAACCCATAATGATCCAGAAAATGAGTTTAGAGTTTGAGTCTTTTGACTCTTTGGGGACGGGTCGGGTAGGGTTTGAGATCAGAATGGGTAGTATTGCACTATATTCGGTCGGTTCGGGTTGAAAAGTTTTCAAACCGAATCGAACCGTCCTACTCATAAAACCGATTTTTTCGGGTCGGTTCGGATCGGTTCGGTCGGTTTTTTCGGTTTGGACCGAACCATGCTCAGCCCTACTTCATAGGAATAATAAAAAAAAGTTGATGGAGGTTTACGTCGATTCTCCAAAAGTTGATGAGGTTTTCTGTAGTTACCCCTTGGTCTTTAATGAGAAACATGGCCGCAACAAAAATTGGTTGTTCGCGCGCTAACTAGTAAGTAGGACAAGGACATGATGCGACTCGAGCCTAAAAAAAAACTTGATGCGGTATCGAGGAAGTTCTCAACTTTGTGCTAAGCCACCAAGTTAATTAGTTAGAATGTTGCACATGATCCGTGTCCTTTTGGGGGTCCCCCATAAGCTACAGATTATCCTCATAATTTTGTAAACACATGGGTTTGTTCCCTGGTTAAACTAAAATGATATATTTGATCAAAAACTCACCGGTAACAAGATAGCTCAGTTTTCCTACCGATCCCCCGTGTGCTCCACGATGTTTGCGTAGCTTCCGTGGATCCAAGATGCACACTCGTTTTTGACTTTGATTTCGCGACCAACGTAGACTGTTAACCACGCTTCGTAACACGATCAGATCTAGTTGGAATTTGTGGTGTCCATCAAATATTCCAATTAATTTGAGTCGGACCGCGAGAGGTCTCCATCGAATCCATTTCTTTTTTTGAGACTATTCAAATCAAATTAAATTTGTGAATAATTAATAAATCATAGTCATGTAGATACTAGTTACGTCGAAGTGGCAACGGAGAGGCCGATCCAAATCCAACTTCATTAAGGCAGAAGTTGATGTAGTTAAGTTCATCATTTTCTTTCCCTTCCGCGTCTCATAAAAGTAGTAGGCGTATGCTTCTCTAGCGTTGAATTAATAGGTGGGAAGGTTTCCCTGGCTTTCATCCACCTACCTTTTCATCTGCTTGGTTATACTAGTATAGTGCACGTGCGTTGCACGTGAACATTATTTTTTCTTTTGCATTTTCATAATAATTTTTTTGCTTTATACGGCCTAAAAATATCAATTCAAATTTTCAAACTTTGTTCAAAACTAATAAGATAGAATTTTGTGAACATATATGATAAAAGTAAAAGATAAGTTATGTTCTTTTAAAAAATTATTTTCAATATTTAAACATATGTAGAAGATCAAGAATGAAAGTGAACTCTCTTTTTGACATTGATTCATTACAAATGTTCAAAATCGGAGCTCTCTTCTAAATAATTAGTAAGATATCTGCATGTGCAAATTCTCAATCAGCTGGATGAAATATTTTGTTCTTGAAGTAATTTTTTTTTACATAAATACATTAGTTGCTAATTCATTCACAGTAACCTTCCATTATTATATGCCCAACTTATGGTAAAAGTAAACTATAATTTATTTTATTTAAAAAAAGTATCATCAATATATAAACATATATAGAAGATCAGTAATAAAAATGAACTCTCTTTTAGACATTGATTCATTATAAATGTTCAAAATCGGAACTCTCTTCCAAATAATTATATGCATGATAATAGTACCCATGTGCAATATTATATATGAGATATGAGATAATACCCATGCGTTTATGCATGTACACATGCTTTGGTCATAAATATGGAGGTTATGAAAAATTGAGAATGCATATGTATGTATGACTGGTGGATGTGTAGTAAATGATGAGCTTGTGAAAAATTAAGTGTTTGTGCATTTCATGTATGTATGGATGAATGTGTTGGAGGGCATTTTTGAAAGAAATGTTTTAACATAGCAACCCACTTTTATATTAGTATTAGATATTAGATTAGATTAGATAGAAAGAGGTTAATGAGTATCATGTGCCGTATGAGGGGATTCCCTCGTATACAACGATGTGGCACAATCTCACAATCTTCACAAGTGAATAAAATAGGAGAGAGAATGACTCATAACTATACTTTGTAGAGATTGTGCGACATCATTGTATATGAGAAAATCTCCTCATATGACATATGATACCCATTAATCTCATATGTAAAATAGGCTAAATGTCAAAAGTAACCCCCGCCACCAAAAAAATACACGCATACACACCTTTGGGCAATTATTATCATGTAACATCTCCTAACTTTCAAAATATTAAGAAACTTCCCTTAAGCAAATGGTAAATTAATTTTTGCCGGGTTCAAGACTATTTCAGATGCTTCTGCTGCGCTTGCAGAATTGAACACGACTCGGTTTGAGTTATGTATCAGAAAGCCCGGACCCCATAAGGTCCTGGCTTACTCATCAAAAGTTACACTTAAATACCCTAAGTTATAAAAAGTAGCATTTTGATGCCTTAAGTTGCAAAAAAGTAGCAATTTAATACCTTAAGTTGTAAAAAACTGGCACTTAAATACCCTATTATTTCACCAAATTTATACTTTAATATTTTAAGCTGTAAAAAATAGCACTTTAAATTATAAAAAATAGCATTTTGATGTCGTAAATTGTAAGAAAATAGTACTTTAATACATTCTACCAATGGTCAGGATATATTCCTAGCAATATTCTCGTGACAACTAATAAAAGGCATGAATGTGCTAATTTTTTACAATTTAGAGTATTAAAATGTTATGTTTTACAACTTGGAGAATTACGGTGTTACTTTTATTACTTAGAGTATTTAAATGTAAATATAATCAAACAATAATATATTTAAGTGTCATTTAGCCTTGTCAAAAAGATGAGACAAGTAAACTTTTATTTGAGTAGGAAGAGGATGCGGGGAGAGAGATTATTATTCTAAATTAATACCAGCTGTTGGGTTGGGCTTCCAACTCGCGTTTTTGGCCCTTAATATTCCTATGAAATAATCAATTTGCAATCCAGGCCCAGAACGAAGCCGAACGTTGAGTTCGAAGTTGAAAAACGCTGGACTCGCAATCCAAGGCCCAACTCTGCGCTCCCAAAATGCACCTTATTATTCTCAATGGATCCCCAACCCAACCCGATTTCAGACCGATCTCGCTCGTCTCTCAATTTTTGAGTTCATAGTTGCGATTTCAAGCGATCCCCAAATCTCCTCCTCTTCCCTTTTTCCCTCTCCCTCTCCCTCTCTCTCTCTCTCCCTCTCCCTCTCTCCCTCTCTCTCTCTCTCTCTCTTTATTAAAATATGATGACGATCGGTCGGTGGCTGCGGACTCGTGGTCGATTAAAAGTGAGTATGGAAGCACTCTCGATGATGATCAGAGACACGTGGACGCCTCTGAAGTCCTCTCCGGCGCCAATTTCCCCGCTGCTTCCGATTACAGGTGGAGTCCTCTTCATTTGCCAAGTAATGAGGTTTGATAGATCTTAATTAAGTAAAATTGAGATATCAATATGTGTTTTATGTAAATTTTGTGAAAATTTGCAGAATTGCTTTGATTAGGGCAATATAGTGCAGCTACTGGACTTTCACTTTGTACCTTTTCTTCCCAAAGATTAACATTCCCGCCCTTTTTGTTACTGTTGCATGAAAGAGACTTCATTAGTTTGCATTGTACTTTGTTTGTGTTTGTGTCGAAAATTGATTTCATTATGGAATCCATTACAATTGTTTATCAATTACAGATTCAAAGAGAGCCTAGCATTTTTATAGGACTTCTCGCTTACACAAATGAAATAAACAAAAAATTCCTAGAAACACACGCAGAATCGTTTATCGGTCGCTGCTTGCGTGGGATCTTTGTCTGTGTCGGGACGCTTTGATCCGTAGATCGTCGAATAACATATCCGGGTTGATCTGAAAGAAGACTTGATGTTTTTTGTTTCAATCGAGGAAACTTAGAATATAAGTGAATAACCTCAACAAAGTGAGATTACCACTCTTCTCAAGATCAAAACAAGGTCTGATCTCAAGGAAACGGATGAAAGACTATGCATCTCTCGAAATTCTCCCTTTATATTCAGAAAATTCCCAAGACCTCGCCCCTCTCTCTGTAAATCGTGGCTCTGCTCTGGAAACGTGGGTTCTCTCATGTTCGTCAGTCAACTGTCAGTACCCTTCACAAATGCACGAAAATGAGTATTTATAGGGCTTGAACGCCATGTTTGCGGATAAGAATTCGTGATTTGGCCTTATCTTCAGTTAATAACGGCTTTACCATATTTAAAGATAACCCCAAGGTAGTTAGGAGGCCACTGGAACGAACGAATCACAAGAAATCTATTCAAAAATGCGTCGTCGGGAGGCTGATCGGGTGAGGCACTGATATGTGTGCGAGACACATTGAGGCGTCTCGCAGGTGAGACATGTTGGCGTGTGTTTTGTTCTGCTATTTCGTCGATTTTCGTGCTTCTTTGTTTCACCGATTCGCGCGTTCCTTCACATGTTCCTTTGTTTCCTTTTGGCATCAAATTAACTTCTTTGACTCAGATGATGACGTTCATCGTCTTCTTTTTGTCTCGAGCTGCGCGTGGGAATCTATAGGTAAATTTTAACGCTTATAGATACCCTTTCTAAAGTGTTTAAGCCTCATTCTTTTATAGATGAGTCTGGAATACTTTGGATAAGAGACCCAACCTTTAATTTTTTGACTTCTTCAGCTCTCACTCTATTCAGTATTTTGTCGAATAGTCTGAAATTCTTCTGGTGTTACGTTTATCGTCTGATCGTTGTCGAAACCTTGAATTGAAATTGGTGTGTTGATATCTGACTTAGCTTGTGTCGTCGAATCGACGTTGAACTGATCATCTTCGTCAGGAGTTTGTATTTGAATTGCGATTGAACTCTCAGGGGTAAATATGACCTGAAAATTATTCTGAGCCATATTTTGATGAAATTATCGACGCGTTGAGCGACGTCGATCTCCGTTGCAACATAAACACAATTAACCATTTTTCTAGCGAAATTATCGACGTGTTAATCAGTGTTGATATTCGTTGTAACGCGTTGATCGGCGTTAATACGGTTTATACTCATACGTTAACTGGAATCTACACAGTTTAAGCTCTTAAAGCGTTGGAGCACAGAGGATCAGTTTATACTCGTATACTCATCGGAGTTTTGGGAATCAGTTTAACCTCGTGTACCCGTTAGAGGTTCAAGGAGATGTAGTTTATACTCGTATACTCATTGGAGTGTGAATGCGTACCTCGAATATGTCAAAAACAGGTGAAAATAGGCCAAAACAGGCGAAAATACACACGAGAACACCTGCGGGACCCTCCCTGGGCACGAGGCACTCTTGTGTCTCGCACGTGTGCGAGACACAAGAAAGTGTCTCGCACGGAGGGCGGTCCAGGGTTGACGGTTCTGGGTTCTTGAAACCCGATTTCCTTCAATCTTTTTTTTCTTTTTTCTTTCTTCTTCCTTCGACTTTGGACTTCTCTCCCAACGAGAATTCCTAACTCCTCCAAGCTCCCTTTTTAAACCCTTCAAGAGCTCTTGATCTTGGCCGAATCCTTCACCTCTCAAAAGTTAGGGTTTGGGTATTTGGGACATTCTTTCCCTTCAAGCTCCAATCTTCTTGAAACTTGAGTAAGCTTCTCCTTATGGCCTTGACTTTGTGTGTTTAATTTCGGTTTAAGAGAGTGATTTGAACTCTTGTCCTTGAATTCATGGGTTTTGGTTTGGATTTTGAATGATAGGGTTTTGATTTTCCCACTTCAAGTTTGGGCACTTCTCTTGGATTCTTTTCACTTGGATTCTTTTCACTGAACTCCTCTTCTCCAATCTCGGGTAAGCTCATCCCTAACTCCGATTCCAAGTTCAAATTCTAGTTTCTTTTTTTTTTGAGAGGATTGAAACCCTAATTTTGATTGATCTTTGGGGTTCGGTTTGGCTATGATACTGAAAATTTCCTCTTATCAATTGTGCTAAACTCTTGTTCTCCTCTTGTATCAAATAGGGATCAACGTTGAGTGTGTGGAGGATTTCAAGCTCTTCCCAAGCCTCAACCTCTTCAAGGTTCGGCCTCTCCTCTTACTCTTTTACTGATTTCGTTCCCTTTCAATTTCGGGTAACAATTGATCATTTGATTCATAATTTTGGACGAAAATCGAACTTTTGGGGGCTTTGGAGAATGACAACCGAGGTTCTAGTTCTTGGTTCGATTGAAAATTAGCTCTTCGATCTGAAACTTTAGTTGCGAACAAAAAATTAATTTTGTACGTGTCGCGCTCCCTTGTTCGTTCGTTTTTTGGTCAATATCCGAACTTAATCTTGGATGAGATCCCTTTGGATAATAGTTGAAACTCCACTCTTGTTTTGATTTTGTTTAAGACCCTTTTGGGTGATAACCAATATATTGTTTTTGGTCTTGAATTAAGCCGAAACTGAGCTTGTTCGTGTGTGGGGCTCGAAACGAACTTGGGTATTTGGTTTCGGACGATAATTAAAACTCTTGACAAGAATTGATCTTTAATTTATTTTGGATATGAACCGAGCCCCCTCCTTGGCTTGGTTTTCATTTTAATTGTGAGAAACTGAAGTCTTTAGATTGGGTTTGAATGCATCTAGTCTTTAGCCCCCTTTTTTTTGTTTTAGGTGATAACCGAGGCCTTGGCTTGACATTGGTTGATAACTGAACTCGGGGCGTTTAGCTGTATGCGACCCGTAGGCTTTAATTGAATTTTAAGCGGAAAATCCTTACTTCTGTAGGATTTCAGCTAAAATTCGCAATTTTCCTTTTAATTACGGACTTATGCGCCTCAATTCCCAATAAAACTGAGTTTTAGGATATTTTTCACGAGCTTTTGGGCTGGTTTAACCTCTCACGTTTGGATTTTTTATCTCAACCTTCTTACAGATTGACCATGTCTCCTAAGAGGTCATGCATCCTGAGGAGTCGATCAGCCTCTCAGCCAACTGAGAGAGAGACTTCATCATTCGGGGATAAGTTTTCATCATTTTTGTTCGTAAATTCAAAATTGGTATTCTGAATATTACACCCTCATTTGCTCTCCTTTGTGAGGCATTTAGGAAGAGCTAATACCCTCATTTGTGGGGGTCGACGTTTAAAAAATGTATTTTGCTTGGTCAAAACCCTCATTTGTGGGGTATATTGTCACGTTATTTACGCCACAATGTACATTGTCTCTCGTGTGTGTGCAACAGCTGAAATCGTCTTGCCAATTACAAGGTAATGACTCTATCTCACGGATTTTGAAATGAGTTCGACTCCTTGTATTGCCTTGAAAATATTCTTCAAATTGCGTTTAAGAAATACACATTATTTGTTTCAGTCGAATTCCCCTTAGAGGCGTTCTCGTCTCGCACGGCAAGTGGTCACAGTGATGAGGCTTACGCATCCGTTGAGGATGCACCGTTTATAGCTGCAGTTCCTCGATTCAATCCGGATGAGCCTGAGGAAATTCCTCAGCTTGTGCGAGAGGGGGATCGTCGTATGCTGCGACGACTGATCACCGATGCCCCGCTCACTAAAGACCCAAGCTCCACTCAGACTTTGAGGAAGCTTGATTATCTGTTCGGCAATTCCGTCGAAGATCTAGCCGTTTTGACTCTCGCGGAAGAGAAGTGGTTAAATGAAGATGGTGAGAGTCTGTTATATCTTCCCCCGATCCCTTGCCATTATTTACTGGCACGCTTAAAGACACAGGCTGCGAATTGAGAGATGTCTTGACGTCTTACAGAAGAGCAGGAGCGAGTTCACTGTGGGTACATTACCCATCAAAAGACTCCGAGCTCCAGTGATAGAAATTACGTCCGTGGACTCCATCCTGACGTGCTGGGCCAAAATACCGCACCGCCGAATGAGCTGTCAATCATCGCCAACATGGTGAGGAATCGTCTCACAAGGTTAGGAAGAGAGCCGCCTGCGAAAGGCCATAGATGTTTTGTCTGGGTCTATTCCTCAGACAACAAATGGTGGGCTCGTATGACGAGCTATGTTATTGGCCGATGGAGTGTGAAGCTGAATTCTAGTGGATTGTATACGCCCGTTCGCGCCAATATGTATGGATTGCCAGTCAGTGTGCATCATTTCCTTGCGTTGTTAGAACTTTACAACCCGGACACTAATACCTTCCTGACAAAACATGGAGAGTTGAGGCTTGCCCTACATAAGATGCAGAAGGTTTCGGATCTACCGATGAGCGACATCCCTTATCAAGAATATTTTCCCTCCGGTCGTCAATTGAGTCAGATGAAGATGGCCTCCCCTGCTTGCTACGACACATTGTGGGATCTCACGTGTCATTATCAAACGACTTTAACGAGCGTCGGTATCATGGCGAGGAAGAAGTTCCCACAATTGAGCTTGAAGCAATTCGTCGACTATTTGTTCAAGCATTTGGAGGATGACTCTGG